TAAAGTGAAAACAAAATTTTCTTCTATTACCTTTTTCTAAAAAATTTTTTTTTCAAAACCCCCTTTTCCCTTTTTTTTTTTTTTTTTTCTTTTTTTTTTTTTTTTTTTTTTTTTTTTTTTTTTGCATATCTACAAGGCTTGAAAGAATTTATAACGCTTTTGTTCACACTTAAAAAAGGTCAAAGTAATATCTGATTATATCATCAAATTTTTTAATGCTGTGAAACAAGTCTTTTTTTTTTTTTTTTTTTTTTTCAATATAATGAATGCATTTTTTGTGAATCAACTACCTCCTAATATTTTTTTTTTACCTGTCTTTTTATCACAAAAAAAAAAAAAAATTTAAAAAAAAATAAAAAAAAAAAGGAAAAGAAAGGAAAAAAAAAAAAAAAATAATGGATAAATTTCTACCAAAGATTACTACAACCCGTAACCCACCTAACCCACCTTCATGGTATCCACCAGAATCCTTCGGCGAAGATAGAGATAATGGAATTTTTCTTGTGGATAATAGAAGCACGATTACACGTCACAAACAAACTACACGACAATTCTCATTGAAACCAATGAATGAAGATGAGTACACGGCATTATCTGCGTGGGAAGATGATGATATTAGTAGTAATGTAGAAGTTACAAAATCTGAAAGAAACGAAGCTCAATATATGAATGAAAATTCATTTTCGAAGAATTCATCCGACACTACCAGTACAGCTAATACAGTGGATGGTTATGATGACGATACCGCCTCCATGGCCTCCATGTCAACCTGTTCCACAGCAACGACTTCAGACCTATACCCTTCCGTAATGCACGTTACTTTGAAAGATTTAATAAATTTCAAAGAACGACATGATTCTATGCAAAATATAAATAATTATTACAAGTCTATGGAACCAACACCCGTTATTAATAAAGGTAAACAAAAGATTGTAAATTTTAAGGATGAAATTGTGGAATCACCCGGAAAACCATCCAAGAAATCAATGGAGATAGAATCAACGGCATTATCAGTCATTTCAAATGATTCAAGTACCATTAAAGAGAATAATTCATCACATAAAGAGGAAATTTCGGAAATTTCAATAACTATACCATTAAACTTACCAAAGGTATCAAAAGAAGAATATGAAGCGACAAAAATTGACAAACAAAACAAACTTCGTGCGTGGGTGAAATGTTTATGGCCACAACCAAGGCTTCCCGGTTCGAAACAATTATCAGCTGGACTTACTCCAGGTACTCTATCGAAAAGGGATCTCAATCCGTCTATAGTTGGAGTTATCGTAATGCAAAAATCGGTTCCAATGATATTAACGGCCATATTAAAAGGAACGAAACATCCAAAAAAAGAGATTGATAGAAACGGACAAATAAAATTTACGGGGGAGCCTGTAATTATTAAGGGGGTTTATGACCCAAGAGAGTATTTGCTTTTGCATTGTCCTACTTTTCATAATCCACCTTGTTATAATGGTGATCCAAAAAACCCTTGGACTGAACATTTCTTGCTTAATAAAATTTTGCCTAGATTAACCAGTGAAGCAATTAAAGTACAAAATGAAGTTGGATTATTCTTAACAGTCAAGGAATCAATGTTATGGGGATTAGAACATTATTCCTTATTTCAGTGCAGATATTGCACAAACGTGCAAAATAGTTTTGGCAGGCAGTTCAATTATAAAGGGGTTTGTGAACATTTATACAGTAGTAAACATAATGTAAGACATATCAATGATGAGGAAATGATTAGAGTTAATCCCAAAGATTTCTTGTTGGCTTTTTATAAAAATTTACCTCCAGTGATCGGAACCGCTTTTTAATTTATCATGTTATTTATCATTTCACTTGTTATTTATTATTTTGTAAATAAAGGACAGTCAAATCATTCGTATATTAAAAATCTTTTAAGGATCTCATTGTTGTTTCAAATACCAAAATAGCAGATGCATTGGTAGGAAATGATCGAAGTATACATGGTAGAAAACCTCGATAAAACCCATTTATTCCCTCCGTTTGATACATGTGCCTAGCTATACTACGCAGATTTGGGAAACGTAAAGGTTTTACATCTGGTTGTGTCATGAATCTATTTTTAACCGAATCAATAGGAAAAGAGACGCACCAAAAAGTATTAGCGCTTAATCCACCCGCCAAAAAATTGACCATCATTTCATTCATGTTGTATCTTCGAAGCCATCTTGAATATACTTCATAAGATCCCCAATAAACGCAAAACCATGATCTGAATGCTAAAGTTCCTATAAACCCAATCCATAATCCAGGAATACCGTTATTTCGTATTAGTTTCCTTGCACAGTCAATTGGACCAGAGTAAACTTTTGTAGATTGATCGTATTGCACTTGTAATCTTGTTTTTATTTGTTCTATAGGTGTGGCGATAATTGATACGGTCCAACCCGCACCAGCTCCGGCCAACGCGTGCTGAAATAAATTTAATTTTATCGTCGGGTCATTTCGTTGTAATAGCAGACGATAATTATGCAAGGATCCTAACCTAAGTTTAGAATATTAATTAATTTAATCAAGAAAAAAACGTGGCAAAATTCAGACTTACATCAACGAGTCCATAAATACCCATCCTACTAATGGTGGTGAAGCTCCTAATAATATATGATTTTAGTGAAAAGGTTTCATTTGTTATTATATATTAAAATCATTATAGATGCCAAACAAACCTTTATAAAGTGCACGAAAGCCCTCCTAATCGATTTGGATGAATTAATCCTTAAAGTGATGATATGATTGATATATGATCTTAACTTACTTTTTGTATTGTGGTCTTTAAACAGTGCAGCGGTCCACTGAATCTTCCATCTAATCCTGAATTCTGTAGTCGTATCTTTATCGTATCTAAATGAACGATTTGAAAATATTTTAGTTAACGTAATACAAAATTAATGTTGAACAATAATTTTAATGAATATCAACCAAATGGATGGCCAACGGTCAGTTTTGTCACACCGGACGCAACTCCTGCTATGAATCCACGGAGTCGTCCGATGCTTTCTTTCTCTTGTTTCTGTTCAATCTTGTAATTCTAGGATTATTAATAAATGGGACCCTGCGATGGGATTTTTTGAATATAATTGAAAATGTGAGCCAATTTTAACATTATCACTTTTTCTTGTAATCCTGATAAAAAGTACCTAATAAAGATTATGAATTATTGAATTTCGAACGGTTTAAAAATGAAAAAAAAAAATTTTACGCGCATAAAAAAGAGATGTGTTATCACATGAAATTCTCATAATCTCATATCTATAAACAGAATAATTTAAGGGATCATTACATTTTTTTTTCTTTTTTTTTTTTTCTTGCGAGTTTTCAACTATGATTCTTTTTATCTTTTTGTTCTTTATTGGATATTACTCTTACAAACATAAACCTAACGCAAATTCTTTTAGAGAATTTATTCTAACCAGTAAAGAAACAAATTCCCCCTCCACCTCCTCTCCCTCAACCTCGCAGGATTTATTTAAATTTTTTAACAAACTTTTAGTCGGGCAACCAAGTGTTCCAGAATTTAAAATAGACGACTATTATTGTTTTAATGTCGTATCCTTCAAGGACGGAACTGCAACATATGTAGGTTTTTTAGATAAATGGTATCTATGGAGCAAAATTGAAGTGATTGGTTCGAGTGGAAGAGGTGATCGACTATTCGGGCGCAAAAAAAAGGGTTCGGCGACAGAAATGCAAGTCATTGAAGGGTTAGCGTACAGTGATAAAGAAGCTGCTATAAAAGCTAAAGGAAAGAAGGATTGTATGTATTATTTGAAGTGGTTCTACTTATAATAACTGTTTGTAATTCATTATGAAATCACGAATTTTTCTTAAAAAAAAAAACAGATCATAAGGCAGCAAAATCATTTTTATCGGCGGCTAAACAATTCAAGAAGGTTGGTGATGATTCTAATCTTCTTGAAGCTGCAAATTGTTATGAAGATGCTTATAAAGCTTATCAACAGACAAAACAAACTGGTATTTAATTTTATTATTACTATCAATTATAAGTTGATGGATTTATTAAATAATTTATTTATTTATTTAGATAGAGCACTTGAGGCGTTAGAAAAAGCGGCTTCTATTTATGAAAACAGCGACAGACAAAGTACCCGTGCAGCGCGTGTATACGAAATATTGGCAGAACAGTATAAAAAAACAAATAGTACACAGCACAATTTGGAGAAAGCACTCAAGGTATATGACTTTTTTTTTGTTACAAATGTATGATTTTGACGGGTGTCTTATACATACATACATATGTATTTATATTGCATATAGATGCATCGCAAATCTGCCGAACTATTTGAATTAGATGGAGATGGGTAAGGTTACATATATTTATGTATGCATAATCATAATTTATGAACGATTGAAATTGAATTTCACTTTTTTCAAAAAATTTAGTCGTTTCTTGTTTTCTTTAACATCACAAGCTGAATTATCTGCTGAGATTGGATATTATGAACAAGCAATTTCTCTTTTTGATAATATAATTATACTTTCGGCAAATGATTCCATTCTTAGTTTTAAAGTTAAAAGTCATGTGTTTTTGCAGTGTCTATGTATTATCGCTTTGGGTGACTGGGTGAGACTTGAGAAAAGATTTCAACAATGTATCGAGGAGTATCCGAGCTTTGCGGATAGTAGAGAATGTGCTTTTATAAATGTAAAAATTTAATCCTTTGATTTATCTCGTTAACTAATCTATTTCAATACTCATTGTGCATAACTTTAATATATATTTTTTATTTATAGAAATTAATCGTATCCAAAAATTCCTGCGATCCGTCTGGATTTGCTACAGCTTGCAAAGAATATGATCAACTTACAACATTGACTTCATGGCAAACGCATATCTTACTTGGAGCCAAAAAAGATTTAGAAGTTGAAGATTTACGATAAATTTCAACGATAATCATTTTCGTTAATAGATATTTTATTTTTGGACATTTTTAGACAATTTACAAAACAAAAAATTTTTTATTATTAAAATTTCATTATACACCAACTCTATATTCATAAATCTTTTTTGCATAGTAGACTCCAACCCCAACTGATAATACACCTAATGATAAGGGCACAGGTCTTTTAGTCTTTATAGCACGAGGAATCATGCTACCTGCTAATATAGTGGATGCAGCTTCAAAAAAGAAAATTTTTTTTTTTTAAAAAAAAAAAAAAAGAAATTAGAATTGAAGAGTTTCAATTAAACAAAGTTGTTTTCTCCAAATAAATAAATAAATTACCTAAAGCCGTTTCGTGCCCATAATCTTTATTCTCCTTAATAACATATCTTGTAAAAAACATATATAAAATGAGGTTTAATGACAATTAAATATGCTAAATATTGACAACCTATCAAATTCATACCCTGCAATTCCGTATAAGATTCCAACGCCAACTCCTGCCATTATCGAAGGCATTGAACGTGCTTTAGCGTAAGCGCTAATGCCTCCAAGTGTACCTACCATATGTATATATGTAATAAAATAAATTACTCTTTCTTACTAAATTAAGAAAAAACATTTTATTATTTACATACATATAACCGCCATTGTATATGAAGGATGATGCGACATTTTTAAAAAAATTTCAGATTACGATATTGAATTGCACAAAAAGTGGGATGTTTTTTAAGATTTTGCGAATAACGTTACACGAAATCGTCATTAATACGTAACCAATAAAAGTGTGTAATAATTTAAACAATATCTTTAAATAAATACCCTGAAAATTTTCATAACTATTAATTTATTATTAAACTTATTTCAAATGGAACCAGAAGCTACGACGTCAAATACTTTTCCTTATAATAATAATAATAATGCAGATAGCTTACCTCTCTTAACATATTTAAATTCATGCCCGGCCACTTTTGGATATAGATTAACAGAAAGTGCAAAACAGGAAATACTGAAAAGACTTTTCTCGGAACTATGGAGATCAAATGAGGAATACAGATCTTTATTTTTTCCAAACGGTTTCGGTGAAGGACTTGACGCATACAAATTGAGCCTTGCACTAGGAGAAGGAAGTTCGGAATATTTACCGACACAAAAAGGAAAAGCTTGTGGCCATGTCTTTAAAAAAGGAGAAGGTGTCTATCGATGCAGGTAAGAATATATTCGGGGTGATGATTCTGGATTGGATCGGATCATTTTGGTTGAACCTATATAAATAATATTGGGATTAGGATTGGAATCCTTTTTGTTCAGACCGATTAGAAATATAAAAAATGAGATTTTTTAATTGATCTGATAAAAATTAAATCCTCCCAATATAATTGTTCTTCATATTCATCATTATCTTTACGTAGAAACTGTGCGCTGGACGATACATGCGTCTTTTGTTCTCGTTGTTTTCATGCAACGAATCATGATGGACACGACGTAACTTTTTCTGTGAATTCTGGATCTGGTGGCTGTTGTGACTGTGGTGACCCTGAGGCTTGGAAACTTCCCGTACATTGTTCTTATCATTCATTAGATTATTCTTCACCAGATTCTAGTGAATTTGAAAAAATACAGTACGAAGAAATATTACCTCATGACCTATTAAACCCTATTCATAACACTATCTCTACTGTCCTTGATTTCATGTTGGACACCTTATCTGCTTCCCCTGAGGAGATGACCCCTCCTCTTAATGATGCAGATGTCAGGAAGGAAGCTAATCGAGCTGCCCTTTATATTAGAGATCATGTAAATATTGTTGATGAAGAGAAATTATTTGCAGTAGTACTTTGGAATGATGAGCACCATTCTTTTCATGAAGTGATTGATCAAGTCATGGAAGCAATTGAATGTAGTCAAGCGGAAGCAAAAGCCATGGCTAAAAGAGTTGATTCATACGTATGTAATACGATAATACTTTATTAATCAAACCATAAAAAAAAAAAAAAAAATAATATATATATTTATATATATATATTTTTTATTATATAATTAATTCATTCTTTATTATAACGTGGAAACAGGGACGTGATATCGTTCAAATATCCGAAGATATTCCACGTCTTCGCTCCATAGCACGTACAATATCGTCAATAGGCCTCGCTGTCACGATACGTTCCGCACGTGACACCTTCCGTGAAGGGATGTGCGGTCTGTTCATTGATTGGTTAAAAGATCTTGCAGGAGGAAAAATTGGTTCAGACTCTTCATTGCTTAGAGATATAATTTGTGAAGAACTTTGTAAAGAATGGAATAAGCCTCGTGGTGCCGATATCGATATGAAATCGAAAATTCGGTTCGCAGGAGATACACAAAATGGTCAAGTCGAGGGCACAAGTGAATTTATGAGTGATGATGAAGAAATGGTGATGATTGATGATGGTAACGATGCTAATGTTGAAGACGATACATCCAATGTGTACAGGCAATCTGTAGAATTCAATGGTGATTACGATGTGTTAATGGAAGAACATTCTAGCGATGCAATTGAACCAATGGATGAGGATGAATCGATAATATATCGTGGTACTTCTTCTTTAATGCAGAAAGTAGAGGATTTTAAAAAGAAATTGCGATTAGATAAGTTGCTGGTTTTAGATTTAAGGCTATGGAAAGAGGCAAGAGCTGGATTAAGAGAATTATACATTGGAACACTAATAACTAATACAGGATATAAAAAAATAATGGGTAACTTTAAAAAAAAAAAAAAAATATTTTGGAACCATATTTATTTTTTTTCATTTATAATTTATAATTAATATTAAATTTTTTTTTTTTAGGTATTCGATTTGCTCGTAATTATGTTAAACTTGCAAAGGCATTTCTTACCCCTGACCGTGAACCTGAACATTCAATTGTTCTATTTTCTGTTCAACTTTTTACTGTCCCTACCATTTCCACAATTCTCGTCACCAAATATAAATTCCTTACAACGATCTTTACAATACTTCATACATTTTTTACCTCCAATACTGTTGGAGAGGATTTAGATAGCATTGATCTAAATGCTAAAATTGATTGTGATTCTGATGCTTTTAAAAATCGTCGTTACTTCCATGTCTTTCAAGATCTTCGATATATCATCAGTAATGACGCTGTGAAAATTGCAATACCAAAAAATCCTCATTATTTGCAACAATACCTGAATTTAATTGCATTATTCCAAGGAATGAATCCAAACATTCGTGCAACTCAACAACATGTGGAGTATGAGAACGATAGTTGGGTTAATGCGTTTAATGTAACTTTGCAAATCGCTAAGAGTTGCCGTCAATTTTCTGATTGTTACACGGGCAACACCAGAACGTTATGTATAACTATTCGTAAAACTTTAAGAAAATTATACGAATGGTGTTCAAGATGTGACGACGATGATGATGAGGGAGATAAAATGGATGAGACCGGCGACGATCATGAAGAATCTCTTTATCATTCAAGTGTTTGGGTAACATCTACACCGGGTTCATATGGTCCCTTTGCAAAGAGTGCGAAATTTTCTGATGAAAGGAATGAGGACAAGGATAACAATCTTTCATCATTACGAGAACCAGAATTTCATGATGTTATCTTTCCTGCGAATCCTTATTTCCTTTCATTTCGAGTCGTTAAATTTGAAGTTTCTTCGCAGCCTGTTAGTTTTCATCACCCTTTGAATTGGTTTTTAGCCGAATTATTGGAAAATGTTAATTTATTGGATGATGAATTGTTAAAACAGCATGGTTTTGGCAGTTTCCAAAGCATGATGATGGGCTTCGATTTTGAAAACAATGAGGAATTGGGTGCCATAGTTCAACGCGTTAAAGAGAAAATTTTAGGAGTATTTGACTATCCATTGCGAGGTGAACTTATTTTTTAAAGAGGTTTTCGAATGAACCAACCATTTTATTAATTATTATTTTAATTATTCGGTCCTTGTAGTGTTGGTTTTGTTGGTACAAATCCGTGCTGGTTTATGGGTACGGAATGGATTTGGCATTCGCGGTCAAGTACGTATAATGTTTGGGAATGCTAAAATTCCAATTAGTTTCATTAAAAAATCTAATCATCATCATCATTATTATTAAAGTGCCACCATTATCGTGAAATTTCACTACGTGAAAATACCTATGATGAAGATATCTTTCTATTACAGACAGCTTTTATTTTGTTAGATCCAAATATAGTCCTTGTCACTATTTTAGATCGGTTCGATCTTGTGGAGTGGTTCAATGGTAGAAATAACCACAAAGTATATGATAATTCACAACTTACCTTTATTGCCGAAGAATTGTTGACGCTTTTAATCACATGCGTCAGCGAACGTGCAAATGCAGCCGGATTAACCAATGAACAGAAAATAAGAAGGGAAATTATTCATGGGCTTTGCCTTGGTCCAATTGCTTATTCGGAACTTATAAAACGTATTCCAGAACGATTAGCACAAGATCCAATATTTGATGAGATCTTAACGAGACTCACTACTTACAAGTCACCAGATAGTTTGACCGATCATGGTACCTATGAACTTTATGACGAATATTTTGATGAAGTGGACCCATATTTTGTCCATTATTCTCGTAATAACAGGGAAGAGGCAGAGGAGGCTTTGAAGAACAGATTAAAGAAAAAGGATGCGAACTCTACTCCACTGTTAATGCCAAAATTGACTCCTATAACAAGTGGGCCATATGTTAAATTAGGCAACATTTTACATGCAAGCTTATTAAATCAAATTATTTATTATTCACTTTGGCATGTAAAAACTGATGAAAAGATAAAGTCTGACACACTTGTGGAAGAAGCACTGCACCTGATCATGTTGGCTCTGTTGGATGAAAATAATGACATCATGAGAGAATGCAAACGTAAAGGAAAACAAAAAGCTACTGATACTTCCATTTCATCAGATATAGATGAAGAGATACCAGGTTTTGTTTATTATGCGGTATCTGATCATTTTCAAGAAATTGATACGAGTACAATGAAGTCTCAGGGTACTAGCCTATTAGATCTTCTATTGCAGCTTTCATGTGATCAAAGTTTCAAAGAGTTTCATAATAAGCTAGAATTTATTATAAATAAATTCGAACAATTCGAGAGTGACAGTGCAAAGTTGACAATAAATAGATATCGTGAGAAGCTACGTATTGATTTACAATCAAAAGGAACTGAGGAAAGTAAAGTTTCCGAGTATGAACGGAAGAAACAAGCGGCTAAAGAGAGGCAAAAGAAAATCATGGAACAATTTGCTAAAGCCCAACAAAGTTTTATAGAGAAGCATGAAGAATTATATGACGAATATGAAGGAATGGAAGAGGATTGGGACCTTCCTGCTGGTGAAGAACAATCAGGAACCAACTCTTTAAAAACGATGGAAACCAATTGGTCATACCCTACAGGAACTTGTATCGTATGCCAGGAAGAAACTAATTCTTCTTCATTATATGGAATGCTCGGACTAATTCAGCCATCATCATTATTACGTCATACTCCATTTAATGACGAGGATTACATCGTTGAAGTTGATGATTTGCCTGAAAGTTTGGATTTTAAATATGACAGATCAATTCCATTCGGTGTTGCGTCCTCAGTTTATACCAAAGCACGTCCCCTAAGTAAAGGATTTCCTTCAAAGTCATGTCGACAAGGATTATATGCTTCTACTTGTGGGCATCTAATGCATGTGAAATGTTTCGACACATATTTTGCTTCTTTGGAACAACGACATTCATTACAATTAGCAAGGAATCATCCTGAAGACGTTAAAAGAAAAGAATTCATGTGTCCATTATGTAAAAGTTTAGGGAATATTTTATTGCCAATCGTTTGGAAGGTTAAGAAAGAAGTATTTCCTGGAATATTGGAGACGCAAGAAGATTATGTCACTTGGTTACGTGATAAAGTTGGTTCTGGGTTAGATAAATTGAACCTAATACTCCCTTCTGGATCAGACTTACCATATTCAAATACTGACCCTAATCGTAGATATACACCTTTTACCGCTGGAGCACCTTTTGATTCTGCTACAAATGTCGATTTTTCATCCTACGTTCAAACATCCCAAACTCAACCAAGGCGACGAAATAGTGGTGGAACAGGTAGGATCAGGGAAGCAATTACTCATATTGTGCACATGTTAAGAAATCCAGCCGCGATTCAGAATAGTGACGAAAATGGTCCTTCTATAGCTGCTTCTGATGATTTTCAGCCTCTTCACGGATCATCTCGGGTTGACACCCACGCATCTTCTGACGATGATGATCATGAAAACATTCGTCGCATGTACAATCGCTTGGCAGATGTTATGCAAATGACGTATCAAAAAATAACAACAGAGATAACTTTCCAAACCAATTCATTGAAATCTATTGAACACATGTGGGACCTATTTGGTTATACAATTTCAAGTATTGAGATTGGTCAACGTGGTATTAGTCATACTATAAGTGAAGGTTCTATTGGATCAACCTTAGTAGATGGAATCAATTCACAAACATTAACGCTCTTAAGAATACTTTCGGAAACGATACTTACTTATATGGATACAATGTTAATTGGTCAAAATAGTGAGTTTGGGTTGAAGCAGGTCACTACTTATAGGATTCAGCAAATATTTTATGGTCATCCATCATTTCAACAAGAAAATAGCGCGCAGGTTGTTGGATCTACACCATTGGTTAATAATACAAGGAAAATTATTGGGTTATTCGGACCTAGCTTGCAGTTTACAAAAGTTAAACCTTTATTGCTCGAAGATCCCTTCTTGGTTCTAGTAGAAATTTGCATGTACACAGTTTCCGTAGTTGAATACGATGTATATCATATGATGCGGTTATTATACACGGCTGAGATCGTTAAAGTAATAGTGTCATTAGTTGAATCCGCTGTTAATGTAAAAACGAATGCATGGGAGGAAAATGAACGATTTAAGAAGAAATTCCCTGATCTACGAGATCCTCAAGGATTCTCGATAAGAGACTTTGTTATATGGGTGACACGACGAGTAGGCAATAATGAACAAGATATTGTAAAATTCTTGGACAAAATCGATGAGTCGGCTTTCGTTAAACTTATTAGGAAATTTTGTTTGCCTTACTTGAGAAAGTGTGTTATCCTCTTACATGCAAGGTTTGGAGTAGTATTCCCAGTAGGAACTGATGATTTACAGGCACAAAACGAAAATGAATTCGTAAGTTTATCCAAATTTCTCGGATTTCCTTCAATAGAACAAATCTGTTCCATATCTTCAGACATAACTATGTCATCAGTAATCTCAGGGTGGTGTAATCATTTATTTTCACTTCGACAAGCACCACCGCTTCCGATGACGTCATCAGGAACCCTAAACGATACAAGTATGATTCACGATGTTCACGTCTCAAGTGGAGTAGCTTCAAGTAGTTCACAAGTACCACAACAAAACCATCAATCATATCAAAGAATTGATGTTAAAGTTAATCATCCAGCAATATTTGAACTTGTAGGTCTACCAAAGAGGTTGGATTCTTTGTTTGAGGAGAGTCTGAAAAAAGTTTGCGAAAAATGTAAAACAGTACCACATGATCCAGCTTTATGTCTATTATGTGGTACGTTTGTATGTAGTCAAAGTTATTGTTGTTCAGAAAATGATCGAGGTTTAGAAAACGATCGAGGTGAATGTAATCTTCACACTAAAAGGTAATCAATTTTACTTTTGTTTGCTCCATTTCATTGTATTTTTAAGTTTTAACGAAGTTCATTTTATCTTTTTTACTTCATATTATAGTTGTGGTGGAGAGATAGGGATTTATTTATTAGTAAAGAGATGTGTAATTCTTTTGCTTCATGTTGATAATGGTTGTTATATGAATGCTCCGTATCTTGATAGACATGGAGAAGTTGATCTTGGATTAAAGTAAGTTATTTTTGTTTATTTTTTAATTATTATCTTCATTTGTTAAATTTGTTATTTTCTATTCAGGAGAGGAAAACCTCAATTTCTTAGTCAAAAACGATATGATGAAATTCGTAAGTTATGGTTAACACATGGCGTACCAATTCATGTTGCAAGAAAGATTGAACAAGCATTTGATTTGGGAGGATGGCCTACATTTTAGACTTATTTTCTATTTTCTTTTTTTTTTATTTTGTTATAAAAAAAAAAGCTATGATAAAAAAAAAATTTTTTTTCTTTTTTTTAGACTTTTTTTCAGGTGTATTTTATATATAATAAATTTTTTTCAGCTAAATGTATAAATTTAATATAATAAATTTAATAAATCTAACATTAAAAAATAAATATATTTTTTATAAATTTAGTTTTAAGTATATTATATAAATTTATTATAAAATTTATAATATATTTTAATATTAAAAAACAAAAAAATTTATTAATATTTATTTAAAATTAAAGTTTTAAATTATTTTAAGTAAATTTTATAAATTTAATATAATAATTATTAAAATAAAGTTTTATAAATTTTATAACTAAATAAAAAAATTATAATTTTGTTTTAAATAAAATTATTAATTAAGTTTAAAATTATTTAAATCTAAATTTTTAATAACTTTAATTAAATATTTATAGGTTAAATAATATTTTACATAATAGTACTGATTTATATATTTTTATTTATTAATAATTTTCAAGTATAATTTAAAGATTTTAGTTAAAATAATTCACTTTTAATGATTTAAAATAAAGATATATAACAAGTTTTAATTATTTAATTTTAAATTTTTATTAAAATTAGATTAGTATTTATAAAGTAATAAATCTTCCTTCTAATAATATTAATTTACTATTTATTTTTTATTTATAATTTAGATATATAATTTGATTATTTGATTAAAGTAAATTAAATATTAGGTTAGATATATGGCATTTTCGTACAATCTGTACAAAAATCAAAAAAAAAATTTGGAAGATCACGTTATCAAATCAAATCGAACCAGTAAAAGATGGTGAGAATTTTTAAAATAGTAAAGCGAAGAATTGTGAGAGATTAAAATGGAAAGTTATAAATATTACTTGCACTTTATAAAATCATATCGATAATTGGCATATGAAAATAAATTTGATTTCCCTCCCAAAGGTCCAGAATTTTGAAATACTCAAATCAAAAATAATAAAACTTTCGATTGGCGACAAAGATTTTGTGAATTTTGCCGTGTTCGTAAAATTTTTTGATAAAAACCACCTAAGCATTTTTTTAACGTCATCAAATCGATTTCAAAACTTTATCTCAAAATCCGGATGACAGAAACCTTAGCTGCGAATGAATAAATTCTAGCGCGTCTCTTACACTACAAGTATTTTTCAAGGTTCTTAATCGAGTTTTGGTTATCACAGGCCTAATTATCTCGAATTGTTTCCTTTTTAATTTATCGTTATGTTGTGGGAAACGAATATCTACATTAGAGAATGAAAAATAAAGGAAATGAATAAGTTTGTTGGACTTCATTCAATACTGTAGATTTAAACGCTATTTTCTCAATTGCATTTTTCGAGAGATCGCCAAGAAGCTGTCATGCTTACGCTTTTTATTTATTACTTTATAAACGGCAGACTTAAACTTTTTAATTCAAAACGTATTACTTTTAATTTTACATTTGAAGTAAATACTAAGCGCAAAAAAAAAAAAAAAACTCATTTTTTCATGTTAAACGTGACAAAAGATTTTTTATTATTATTTGAACAAAGAAACAAATTACAACTACAAGAGCTCACAAAATTCAAACCGAAATCGAAAAACTACCTGATTGCAAAATATGATAGTACTTGTTCGCTACTAGTAAACTAGTACCCAGGTTGCACGACGAGGACGTCAGTACTAATCGCAACCCAAAAAAAATGTTGGTAAACTAGTACCCAGGTTGCACGACGAGGACGTCGGTCTACTCGCAACCCAAAAAAAATATGGTAAACTAGTAAATACCTATGTTGCACGACGATGGCGTCGGTGCTAATTGCAAACTATAACAAAGCGGAACTCCTCAACCGAGAGAGTCTTTGGGTTTCTATCTAATGCC